CTTTCGCATCGATGACACAGAATATTTTGGTTCAGAAACGTATGTTGATGAAGATTCACAGAACTTGAAACCAATGTAAAATAGAAACGAAAATTAAATACCCACAGTTTGTCGGCGAAACGATGGACCCAAGTCATCTCATAATGTTTACTAAATGAATAAGTTTCGTCTGGTGAGATAAACGGAAATTGAAGTTTTCCACGTAATTTATTGCGAGTATCAGACTGGAAGCAGAAATAAAGAAAGTGTTCAAATTAGTGATGAATATAAAGAAAAGGAAATTACTAGCGACAAATCCTTAACATACATTATCGATTAATTCATCAATATATTCCGTGGCATCATTAACAACAGAAACCCATAGATAATCACGTTTTATTTTCAATCTATCCATTAAAAGCGTATTTGTTGTGTCGATTATGTTTGAACAGATGGGTTCGTTATTATAGAAAATTGAAGAAATTAGCTAATTAATAAATATTATAAGAATGCAGATCCACTTTGATAAACATGATTATTTACAATTTCGATTCAACTCGCTGTTTTTCTTGATTTAGCCGTCCGAGTAAGTCTTGATTCGCAGATGTGGGATAAATTTGATGCTCTGGGGTGCTAGGCCTTGCGATTGGCATGTCTAAGGATGGTGAATTTGATGATGTCTCCGCGTTTCTTTCATCTGTAGGTTTAACCTGTTCACATAACAAGAAGAGAAATTTGAGAGGAATTCGCTCCTTAGTAGAATTGCGTTCTATACATACGTTTTTTTGAGTGGCCGAATTGACCGACTGTAGACATCAAAGGTAGTCATTAAAAAAATGCACATATTAAATTAAAGACAACATAAACCATTATCCCGACCTTTCTTAATGATAGATTTTTTTGATTTTGTTGTATAATTGTTCGGATCGGCTGGAATTCATCATCGGACTAAAACACAGGAAGAGTTAGTTTCTATCAGACAATTAAAACTTCCAGCTAAAAAAAATTACGCATTCTGTACCTCATCAACATATCGACCATGTACTATATTATTGTCAAAGAACTGGATGGCGCCTCTGGATGCAGTTGCA